CTGACCCAGTTACCCAGTTAGAGCCACACTGGTGCCACTGGGTCCTCCTGGGGACTGCACCAGGCTCATTTCTCCTGGGAGTTCCTGGGTGGAGCAGCTCTGGAGGTTCCTGCAGAGTCCTCTGCTGGGTTCTCAGCTGTTCCTGCAGATGCCTCTGCTGGGTCCTCAGCTCTGGAGGTTCCTGCAGAGGCCTCTGCTGGGTCCTCAGCTCTGGAGGTTCCTGCAGATGCCTCTGCTGGGTTCTCAGCTGTGGAGGTTCCTGCAGAGGCCTCTGCTGGGTTCTCAGCTGTTCCTGCAGAGGCCTCTGCTGGGTCCTCAGCTGTTCCTGCAGATGCCTCTGCTGGGTTCTCAGCTCTGGATGTTCCTGCAGAGGCCTCTGCTGGGTCCTCAGCTGTTCCTGCAGGATCTGCAGGGTCCTTGGAGCAGCAGGGTGGGTTTGTGCTGTGGTGCAGCTCATTTTTAAAGGGTAGGTGGGAGTTTGGCTCATTCCTCCAGTCACTCCACACTGGGAATGTGCTCTGAGGGACCCTGAGGTGTCACTGGTCACAGGCACAAGCTGTGCAGACAGCACAGAACCACAGACCCTCAGAGCAGCAGTCATTCCCTGCCAGAGCTCAGTTCTGCCTGGTTCTAGTGCCTAAAAATAACCTGGAGGAGGGAGAGCTCAGGCTGGAACACACAGCCAGGTGCCAGAGCTGTGCCAGAGCTGGTGCCACCGTGGGCAGTGCCCTGGCTGTGCCCCCTCCCAGCTGTGTCTGGTGGCACTCAGAGCTGGGGTTGCTGCAGGGTTTTGCAGGAGATTTTAGGGTTTTGCTCGTTTTCAAACCTCTCAAGATTCGCAACCTGAGCTGCTCCAGCCCCAGTTTAGGGGAATCCCATTTCTGCAGGATTTGTGGCATCTCTTGGTTTGTATTTCTTTATCTTTTGGGGTATTTTTGAAGCATTGCTGTTGAGATCACCTGATCAGCACACTGAGGGATGAGTCAGCCTGGGCATGGCCGTGGTGTCTCACTGCCAGAGGAACCATCCTGGGGCAGGATCCTTCCAGCTGGGAGCATTGCTGCCCTTGGGTGGGTGATGCCAGCAGGCCTGAGCTTTGTGCTGGGGACAATCACAGCCCCTCAGGCCCTGGGCACATCTGGGACAAGGCCATGAGTCCCTCTGGCCCTCGTTCCACTGACCTGAGGCTTTCCCAGCAGCTTCCTGGAGGAGGTGACAGCCGCAGGATTCCGCGGTCGAAGCACTGAGAGCTCCCAAGTCCCACCAAGGTCCAGCAGACGGTGAATCCTGAAGAAATGAGGGGTTTGTGAACATTCAGAGCTTTCCCAGAGCAGAGCAGAGCAGGATGTTCCTGGCCTGCAGCTGCAGCTTCCCCTCCACACCCAGAATGGCAGCGAGTGCTGCAGCTGGCACTGGATGTGCCCCCACTGCAGCTCCTCATTGTCCCCTCACAAACTGCTCCAGGACTGGCATGGTCACCTTGAGGAGAGCCTGGGACAGCCCCTGAATCTCTTCAGCTCTGCACAGGACACAGGAATGAGTCCCATGAGGAGCCCATGCAGGGGGAGCAGCTGTGGGGGTCTGGCTGGGGGGCACAGGAGCCCTTTGCTGTTGTCTGTATATGTTGGATCCTATTAAATCCCCCACTTTGCCCAAATCTGTCTCCTGGATGATTCCCACTTTCCCTTTCCCAAGGCCACAAGGTGCAGTTACAGCCTGAGCCTCAATGGGAGCTTTTGCTCCCCTCCAGGACCACACCAAGGAACCTGCAAGTGCATTTCCAGCTCTGCTCCCTGGCCTCTAATCAGCACTTGATTGGGAATTAACAAGCCAGATCAAATGAAATGAGCTCCTAAATCCCTGGGAATTATCTTGGCATCACAGCTAAGTCCTGTTGATGTGGGAGAGAGCAAAGCCCTGCAGGGAGGAGGGGACCTGGGCAGCTCTTTGGGGAAGGGAGGGGGAGACACAGCCTGTGCTGGGGTGGAACTGGGTGGGCACCAAATTTTTAGTGAATTTTGGGTTGCTGGGACAGGCAGAGCTGTAAGAATTCCCCCTTAGAGGTGACTCAGGTGTCTGAGAGCCCAACAGAGGGGAGCTGTCAGAGGATACTGGGCAGCCCCTGCCCCAGACACCAATGATATCATTGTTGTCAGAGCCACAGAAAAGCACGTGTCCTAATTAAACTCCCAGGCAGCAGCTTCACACTTGATATCCAGAGGCAAAATGCTGTGTGGGGGGTGTTAAATACATAAATAAACCAGGAGTTTGCTGATCTGCTCTGCAAGAAGAGGCGATTTTGGCAACTGTTTGTTGTGGAGCAGCACAAGGAGCAGCTGCAGCTGCCAGGGGTAGCAAAGGGGGTGTGGGAGTACAGGGAGAGACACAACCACACCTTGGAGAGGCTTTTGGGGATGAGAAGCTGCACTGCCCGTGTCACCTGTCCCACTGGGGAGCAGCCTCAGTGCTGCAAGTGCAGCCTCCTGTTCCTGGTACAGAAATGGGAGCTGGATTCCCTCCTGTCTCCTTCCTTCCCTGTCAATTGTTGATGTTTCCAGCTCTGAATCATTGGTCACATCCTTCACAGCGTGTGACTCACTGGCAGAACAGCCTGAGGCTTCCAAGTGCAGCAGAATTCCTGCTCCCAGGGATGTGTGCAGGTGTGCTGTTATGTGCTGTTACCTGCTGTGGCTTCAGGGCAGCTTCCCTGGCACCAGAGGGCACTGGGGAAGAGCGTGGGCCCTGCATGCAAAGGGCACAGCAGGGCTGTCCCACTGCCACCAGCTCTGTGCCATCTGCTCTTGGCCACCAGCCGGTGCTCTGCAGGCCCTGGCCACCAAAAACAGGATGGGAGGAAGGACAAGTGCAGTTGGAAGGGAAAATGTCATTAAATAAACTGGCAGGTTGTGTGTGGTGTCCTGGGGAGGCACTGGGAGCCAGCGTGGTTCATCTGTCCCTCTGCCACCAGCCCTGCCTGGACCAAGCTTTGGGGTAAAAGGGAAACTGAGGCACACAGGGGGCAAATCGTGGTCCCTGTGGAGTTGGGGATTGCAGAGGTACAGGAGGAAAAGGCAACCCCTGGATTTGGTGTAGAGTGATTTGTGTCAGGTAGGCAGTGAGCCCACAGCTCATGGCAGAAATGCCAATGCCAGAATGGGACACAAACACTCACAGGAGCTCTGGAAATATTCCAAGTACATCCCCAGGACTCTGGGGGCATTAATTCCAGATTGGGGGGAAACTACAACTTGAAATCAGGGCTGGGGGATGTCCAGGGACGGGATGGACGCTGGCATTGGAAAGCTGATCCCCTGATGGACGATGGATCAATCTGTTCCTTGCAGGACACGAAGGAGACAGACCAAATAAACCAAATAAGGGCATTTTTTAGGAAGCTGTCTCCTCACTTTTGGAAGCCGTGCTCCAAATCCTGGCTGTCAGACCCTCCGTGCTGGAAGGAAATCTCCCATCTCCTCTCTCCAGAGAGATTTTCCCCCACTTCCAAACACCTTTAGGGGGTGAATTCCTCCCAGTACCACCCGGCTGCGTTTCCCTCTCCTATAAACTTTCCCGGTGACCCACGACACCGCCGGGAACGCGGCTATACCCCGATGGGAGCACCCCATCGGCGGCACCGCCCGCCCCTCTCCCGCTTCCCCACGGCC